ACAGAAGGTCTAAGGGGATTTAATATTTTGAGGTTTTTCATATCTCACGGGGGTCTATCTTTTGCACAAAGTCCGAACTCAAAATGGATTGGACAGTTGACGATGTTCCCTCGTCAGAAAAAGAATCATTTCATACATCTGGCTCAGAAAAAAAAGAATACTCTGGAATATACCAGTGTAAAACTAAAAGTAAGACGAAAAGAATGAGAAGAAAAAAAAAAGAAAATACATCAGAATAATCTACGTCGACAAGAAGAAAACAATAACCTGCGGTGCGTTTGGCGCTCATACACTTTAAAAGAAAGAGAACAAAAAATAATTATGTGTACAACAAACTGATCCCATCTCACATACCCTCCTTTTTTAAAGCACGACTCACAAATATGTCATAATAAAATGATGATATAACAAGCTTTAGCTTTCTGACGCTTAGTTTTAGCTGAAGGGAACTTAAAAAATATACATTATTGATGATTGAGTTTGTTCCAGACAACGATAAAGCTCATGACGCATATATGCGTCGTTGGTAACCAAAGAGTTAATAGATAATCATCCAAACGAAAAAAGTTTTCTTCTCGATAACTATGATCTAGTATCAAACAGTGGCAATGAGTAAAAATCTTCGATTCAATGAAAATAGACCGGTAACAAACTACCATGTCTCTAATACGAGAAGTACTCTTTTATACAAAGAAAGTTTATTGTAGTTTTGAATGAATTTCTAATCAATTAGGAAGCAAAAATTGCGCGGATCACTTTTTGGACCTAATGATTCTAATTTTGAATAACTTTTCAAAAGCTTTTATGACTGTTGTAGGCAAAATGAGAGAAAAAATATTATATTTTTTTTACCGTTGTTCGCGACACGTGGATGGAATTGATGTTCTCCTTTCTTTCCTTTTGAAAGCTGCAGAGAACAGAGTGTACGTTTATTCTAATTGGAAGAAAGAGTACTCTTTTTCTCAAACAGAAAAAGAAATGAAGTGTTAAAAGCAGAAGGTCATTTGTATATTCAACGAAGGTACCTATTCACAACATCATTATGGCGACTAATACAAACATACTCATTTCGGACAATTTAGAAACATTTTCACTGGTATGGCTAGATATTAATGTGAATGTGATAAAGGAAAATGTGACTGCTCAACAAGAGCTTCGTTCATCCATCAATCATATTCGAACATTCGAGACAACAGAAGAATGTGAAAAGTATATTCGACAGTCTAATCAAGATCGTATTACATTTATTGTTAGTGATAAATTTGGACAAGATATTGTACCTCGCATTCATGATCAACCTCAAATCACTTCAATCTATGTATTTTGCTTCAATTGTTCTACACATGAACAATGGACGTTGAAATACAGAAAAGTAAGACAACTCATGAGTACTTCAAGAATAAATATTAACCTATGTCTAGTTTTCGTGCCAGCTATGAATTTTCACGGTTGAAAACTCTGCTCTTTTACCGAATGATCGATGGAAATGGAATAATATTCTTCAAGTCTTTTCAGTCTGAAGAAAAAACGATGCGAAGTTTTTCCAAAATTACTCAGACATTCAAAGGCGATAAACAAATGTCGTCAAGAAAGATTATTTGCTGAAGTTCCATTCATTTCCTTTCGCTGGTCCAATTTTCTAAGACTATTTCAAACTTCACATTGAGCGCTTATTTTATTCACATTTTTCTGCTCTACATCCTGAGAAATTCAAGTATAATATGCTGGAAATGTATGGGCCATATCTTTTACTCTACCACAACTCTCCTCTCTTGCTGTTACAGAAAGTAGCTGTTACATAAATTTATGTCAAAAGTGCTGTGACAAGAGAATTATTCCAGTACTGTCAATATATACTTCATTGAAACTGTCTTCTCCATAATAAGTAATCGATTCAAAAATTTCATACTTTTCAACGTTTGCAGTCATTTTGATAAGATTTCGTGCAATTGATGTATAAAAATCATGAATATAAATTTATGTACGAATTAGCCAGCTCTTCCTTCGAAAAGAACGAAGAAAAGTTTGAAGCTCATTCAGAAGACAGACAGCTTTAGTGCTACGAACGCGAACTGTGCAAAAATTAAAGACTATGCAAGTTCCATAGTTTAGCTCTTTCAGTAGCCATGTTGACAAGCTTTTTAAGTACAATTAGCTCTTTTTCTGCATTTATACAGGTCAAAAATGTATCAAATCAAATTAGTGATCTGATCAGTCAAATTAAAGGAGATCGAAGAAGACAAAAGATAGAAGAACCTATGCCAATCAGCGTGGCAGAACGATCATCAACAGAAATAGATGGTGGATTTCTTCATTATCAGCTATTCCTTCAGATTCTTACTCAAATGGATTCAATTCCATCGGAGAAAGAAGAGTTGCTTGAGTTGTGTCGACAAACGTACTATGGCAACCCATCCGAGTTGAGAATTATCGAAGAATTTGAAAAAGATTATCATAATGACAATGCTTTATGGTGGTAAGAGAGGAGAACTCTCGAATCATATTTTTACTTTTTGTACTTTTTATTAAGGTACACACGCGAATCCTTTGTTTATCGAACGTTAAATAAAGCCTTTCGTACTCATAACGACAATTTTCTTCTACTTTCCCGATTTTTAATTCGTGATATTCGTGATCAGTTAAGCAGAGAACAATTATCATTACCAATTCGCGTCTATCGGGGTCAACTAATGTATCCAGAAGAGCTTATTGTTCTGCAAAGTTCAGTGGGAAGTCTTATTTCAATGAAGTCATTTCTTTCGACTAGTATGAATCGGGAGTATACTCTTTTTTGTCTCAATTCTGGAACAGATTCCAGCATGGAATGTGTCTTATTTGAAATCGAAGCGGATCCACGTCTGACAAATGTGAAACCGTTTGCTGACATTAGTTTCCACTCGCAATTTCCTGATGAAAAGGAAGTTCTATTTATGGCTGGCTGTATTTTTCGACTCACTAACATGCGCAAAGAAAATACAATTAACATAATCGAGCTAACTCTCGTCAGTGATGAAGATCACGATTTAAAAGAATTGTTCACGCATGTTAAGAAAGAGATAGGCACGAAAAACAATTTCTTTACATTAGCAAATCTTCTTTTGCGATCAGGCAAGTTGGATGCTGCGGAAAAGTGTGCTCGCAGACATTTGAAAGAACTGCCAGAGGGTCATCGTTATGTACCTCTGTGTTATGATATCCTTGGTGGCATTTTGAATGAGCGTGGCGAATATGATGAAGCTATTCAAACCCTTCAGAAAGCTTTACAAATCTACCAGCAAACTTATCCTTCTACTAGTCCAGTTATCGCTACTATTTACAATACCATCGGAGCCGCCTACCAAGGAAAAGGTGATCTAAATGGAGCACTTGATGCCTATGAAAAAGCACTGAATATTGATAAGCAAAGGTATGGTGAGCAACATCAACGTGTGGCAGATTGTTTATATAATATTGGTTGCGTCTGCTACGTTGATAAAAAGTTTGAGAAATCTCTTCTTTGTTTTCAAAAGTCGCTGGCTATCCGAGAAAAAACTTTGCCAAGCGATCATTCTGACTTGTCAGATTCTCACAACAACATTGGAAAAATTTATGACGATTTGAA